TAGGGAATGGGTTAGGAATTTAACGATTTTCAAGATCTGGAAGTTTGGAAATTTAGAGATTTGGTAGTTTGGAAGCTTAGGAATTTGGGAACACAAAGATTTGGAAGTTTGGAAATTAGGGCATCTGGTAGTTTGGAGCTTAGAGATTTAGGAACACAAAGGTTTGGTAGTTTGGGGATTTGGGAATGTCAAGATTTAGTAGTACAATTTCAAGATTTGCGAACTAGTGGAGTTAGAAACTAGGAGAATTGAAAATTTAGGAATCTCCAAAATTCATTACCTGTACATAACTCGTACACCATGTTTCATTACGATATTCACTCTGTCGAACAAATCCCATACCTACCTAAATCTACCTCCATTACCATATTTCGCAAAAATAAAATTCCTCTCTGTGAGTAGTTTCGCATTTTAAAATCCCGTGTTCCACAGAATTAAGAACCTCAAATCCTCTTTAAAAAAATCCTGTTTCACCCGTGGAAATAACAACGTACATGCACATAAATATACATCTTGTCTTTGCTTGTTAAATTTTACAACAAAAATGCACGTTTAACTGGGTTAATTAACGACACAACTAATTGTGACGAAATGTTAAGCATGTAGGTGAAGGATCGTTGTGGTAGAAGTAGCATTTCGCATCGCAACACGTTCATTTTCTGCTTTGATCGCGAAGTACCGTGGTACAAGATTGTCGAGCTCGTGTTCTCAAGTGGCTAACAGACGGTGAAGTATGACGATCGGTCATATCCCTTGGGATCTCTATCTGTAGAACACGATGCACACGTTGCATTATTAAACCACGGCCGTGTAACTCTCATTCATAGCTGCTTGCCGCGTTTTATCTCCTCTCTTGTTACTGCGTCGCACAGATTTCGCGAAATGAACTTCTTTACGAGGCGTTTCAGAAACGGTGTCGAAATGTACTTGCTAGTTTTGAGGTCGTTAACGAGTGTACTGTTATTTGGAAACTTGGAGATTTCGGGCTTTGAGAAATTTGGGTTTTAGGGTTTAGGTGCTTGAAAATTTAGGTTTTAGGATTCGGGTGCTTGAGAATTTCAAGTTTTAGGGTTTGGGTGTTTGGGAATTTTAGACCTTAGATTTTGGGTGTTTGGGAATTTCAGATCTTAGGATTTGGGTGCTTGAAAATTTAGGTTTTAGGATTTGGGTGTTTGGGAATTTTAGGGTTTAGGGTTTGGGTGTTTGGGAATTTTAGACCTTAGATTTTGGGTGTTTGGGAATTTCAGATCTTAGGATTTGGGTGCTTGAATATTTAGGTTTTAGGATTTGGGTATTTAGGAATTTTAGGTTTTAGGATCTGGGTGCTTGAGAATTTTAAGTTTTAGGATTCGGGTGCTTGAGAATTTTAGACCTTAGATTTTGGATGTTTGAGAATTTCAGATCTTAGGATTTGGGTGCTTGAAAATTTAGGTTTTAGGATTTGGGTGTTTGCGAATTTGGAGATTTGAAGATTTCACAATTTGAGAATTTAAGAGCGTGGTACTTGAGGGAGGTCCGAATTTAGGAATTATAAGAATTTAAAGATTTTGTAATTTAAGGATTTAAAGGTTTTAATACTTGGGGTAGTTCAGAATCTGCGAATTTGCAAATTTACTTTTATAAATACTAACTTCACAATCTTTGAAAATTCTCCAAAACTTTATTCCCCATTCAAGCAGTTACACAATCACCTAAGTTTCAAGCAGATAAGAAATAATTTCCGCAATTACTTTAATTACAGTACGAATCGTTGCATTGAAACCAATGATTGAAGGGAATTGCTCGAAGTTCGCGATCGAGGCCAGCATTAACGAGGCTTCCAGAACTCATTTTGCATGCCTGCAAAATTCTCAGCTACGAGAAAACTTGCTTTCCCCTTTTCCGAAACGATGGCTTTGCCCGAGAAAAGCATCTTAAAAGTTCCTGAGAGTTTTCGAACCAATATACAATTACCCGGTTTCCTGTCTGTAAAAACGCGTAATATTCTGACCACCGTCGATTTAATCCGAACGCGTTTTCACAATGAATAAATGCGTTCACGTAGTTAAGAGCTTGCTATGACATCCAAAATGTGTTAAATTGACCTTTGTTCTCGGGCTTTGTAGGTGATAAAAAATGGAAAGTGGCCCAGTTGCGAATGTTTTGAATAGACTCATATTTCTTCATGCACTGTTAATCTTCCCGCTCGTTAACTTTCCGTTTCCGAATTTTGTAGGCAGAGTTCAGGTAAACTTTCACGTTTACAAACCAAATTTTTATTATCGCTTCACTTCAATTTCGAAATCTTTGCACATTTTTCAATTTTCAAGTTTGCCCAATGTATCGTGCTCTTCTCGGATTTTCGAAGCACAGTTTACATTTAATATTCGCGTGTGTAATCGATTGTGTATGATAGGTTTAAAGTGACTACACAAGGTAGATAGGTTACTAATTAATTTTATTCAGCATTAGTTTGTAGTAGGTTTGAGTTATTTGTTTAAATGCTAAAGGATTTCGCATCTTTTCACATTTTTCTATACACGAAGCAGACAACTCTTTGATTACGGAGTGGTGGTTGTATCAATTCGCTTTTTATAAATATAGAGGGAGGAAGGCTGAACAGTTCGCCTCTTCGTGTAGTTTCAAAACATTCCCGATTTTTAGCAACAAGTTTACAACGCGCCAGTAACTAAATATTGCTTTGGTTCGAATTGTAAACACCGTGCGCTGAAGCGGTCTTGAGTTTTTCCTGTCGTAACATGTTCCGTAAACAGTTTTGCTTTTTCCAGTTCTAAGACGCTACTATGGTACACGGACTCTTAGAATCAATTTTAACATTGATTGTACATCCCCAATTTTTGTCAAAATGTCAACTTCTTTCGAACAACGTCTTTCTGTATTAACAAATTTCTAAATCCCAAATTTTTATGTCATCAAATTTCCAAACTCCAAATGTCTATTTTACCAAATTTCCATACTATCCAATTTCCTCACACTATCAAATTTCCATTTTATTTTGCTTTCCATTAGAACGAACCGAGAAAATATACCGATACACGCTGACTATCCCATCTCAATGAACGTTCGCGTCGAGTTAGTTTTAGATTAGGTTGATCCTACGCAGCGTGCAATAACGACGAAAATTTATAATAAACGAGGTGTATCCCCTCAACAATATCGATTTATAACCAGGCTCTCGAAAACTCTAACGACGCTGTTGACAGAGTATACAGTGTGTCGAGACTGAAAAGAGAACGGCATATCGTGATATGCAACGAGTCCGTTTATAGTCGGTTTCGAAGTTTCTTGCCGTTCTAAAATCTATCTGACATTTACCAACCCTCTCTAAATTCATTTCGCCAGTCCCGTATTTCATCGTTGACTTACAGTCCAATATTTATAGTGCACTCGCGCAAACGAGCAGCACATTTTAATATAATCCCTAGTGAAAACGAGAACATCAAAAGCCCTGTTTTACTTTCGAAATTCTACAGCAATATAACTGTTTACGTTGTTGGATCAATCGCATAAATCATTTTTATTTTGGCATTAATTTATGGTCGCAATTTGTCCTAATTATAGTTGATAGTTGATGTCATAGAAATTTGAGAATTTAGAAATTTGATGTCATGGAAATTTGAGAATGTAGATATTGGATATCATAGAAGTTTGAGAATTTAGAAATTTGATATCATGGAAATTTGAGAATGTAGATATTGGATATCATAGAAGTTTGAGAATTTAGAAATTTGATATCATGGAAATTTGAGAATTTAGATATTGGATATCATAGAAGTTTGAGAATTTAGAAATTTTATATCATGGAAATTTGAGAATTTAGACATTGGATATCATAAAATTTGGAGAATTTAGAAATTTGATATCATGGAAATTTGAGAATATAGATATTGGATATCATGGAAGTTTGAGAATTTACAAATTTGATATCACGGAAATTTGAGAATTTAGAAATTTGATGTCATGGAAATTTGAGAATTTAGACATTGGATATCATAGAAGTTTGAGGATTTAGAAATTTGATATCATGGAAATTTGAGAATATAGATATTGGATATCATGGAAGTTTGAGAATTTACAAATTTGATATCACGGAAATTTGAGAATTTAGAAATTTGATATTATAGAAGTCTGAGAATTTTGAAATTTGATGTCATGGAAGTTTGAGAATTTAGACATTGGATATCATAAAGTTGATGTCATAGAAGTTTGAGAATTTAGAAATTTGATATCATGGAAATTTGAGAATTTAGACATTGGATATTATAGAAGTCTGAGAATTTTGAAATTTGATGTCATGGAAATTTGAGAATTTAGACATTGGATATCATAGAAGTTTGAGGATTTAGAAATTTGATATCATGGAAATTTGAGAATGCAGACATTGGATATCATAGAAGTCTGAGAATTTAGAAATTTGATATCGTGGAAATTTGAGAATATAGAAATTGATATAGAAATTTAAGAATTTAGAAATTTGATATCATAAAAGTTAGAGAATTTAGAAATTTGGTGAGAGAAATATCAGGTTTGAAAATTCGATTCATTAGAAAGATTTGGAGATTTGGCAGCTTTGGGTTAATATTTAAGTTAGAAAACTTGATATTTTCAAAGGTAGAAATTTGTCAGGTTTGTAATTTAAGAGTTTGCAAATATGAAACTTTAAAAATTTGGTAACACAAAAAATTTAATATACCAACTCATCACCACTTAATGGAATCTAAACGATGCTAAGTACAATCGTACTCATCAGTTCTTGGTACCAAACAGAACCATAATATGAAATTATGAATGAAACTAAATAAATTTGATAAAAAGAGTGATCTGATAAAACTTGCAAAAGAGGGAAGATTAGTATCAATAAAATAATGAACGATCGAGTCGTAAAATTTGTCGTTTAAAACGTATTCTGGTCACAGTTCGATAACTAACATATTCGATGTTCGTGATGTTCGAGAATGTAGTACTCCTTTTCATGGAAGTTGTTATCGTTCCTGTTACAGGGTGACAGTACTGGGCGTCCTACTGGGGATTCTCGAATGGGATCGCAGCGTTACGTGCATCCTCCTTCTGTGGGAATACATTGTGGGATACTTGGCCATTTTCGTGATCTCCATGGTAGTAGAATTTTCCATCTGCTTATTGGCTACACGGGGAAGCATTCTGGATACTGCGGCAAGGGCACCTATGCAGTACATCCTCTACGTTCGTCTTTGTAAGTTTATCAATTTATTTCTTTTAATTCACCTCCATTTATTTCAATTTACTTTAGTTTTATTAGTTTAATTACATTAATTTAAATTCGTTTGATATACTTTCATTTATTTTCATTTACTTTGATTTACTTTAAGTTACTTTGATTTATTTTCATTTACTTTGATTTACTTTAAGTTACTTTGATTTATTTTCATTTACTTTGATTTACTTTAAGTTACTTTGATTTATTTTCACTTACTTCGATTTATTTTAAGTTACTTTGATCTATTTTCATTTACTTTGATTTAATTTAATGTACTTTGCTTTATTTTACGTTGATTTACTGTAATTTACATTAATTTATTTTAATTTATACTCATTCGCGCTAATTTTCACGTATTCGCACGATTCAATTTAATATATTATAATGTTTCATTCGTTTTAACTTATTTTAATTTAGTTTAATTTATTCTAATTTTTGTTAATTTTATGTATTTTGATTTACTTTGACTTTGTTCAATTTTCTTTGATTTCTTAATTATCTTTGATTATCATCAATTTGATTTAATTTTAATTTCATTTCGTTTCATTTAACTTAATTACATAGAAATAAACATGTACAACAAATTTTTTCTCGTAAACGAAATATTTTCCCACATGATTTTCCATTTCCAAAATTCAATATTTTATAGGAACAAAAAATCGATAACAGCAAAATACGTAGTATATAATTGAAAACCATCGAATTCTGATATCCATAACCAAGAGTCATTAGGTTGTCAGTCCCGAAACCGAAAACCGCCAAGTTACGGCCACGGAATATCGGAAATTTCCGATAACGCGACGTTCGATATCGTCATCTATGCAACAATCTCCTAGTCGCGAGAGTACGATTTAACGCGTGCATATCGTCAGAGTGTTTATCATAACGAACCTCGTAAGCAACGCATTAATCGATATGTTACCGTGAAAGACCGAAATCTGGAGAATGTCGACTTTTACCGGTGAATGTCAACATTCACATAGTCACTTGTTGTATGTCCGAAATATTTGCTAAGTACCCTTATTTCTGACTTACACCGGTAAATGTCGACATTCACCATGTACTAATGGTGAATGTTGAACATGTCGGAGATTTATATTTTCTTCTCCGTAATTCAGTCGCTATAAAACGTCACAAAAGGGTGTCGTAACTTTTTCGCCTCTTTTTCTGAGAGGAGAGACCAAGAATTTAAAACACATAGTACATTCTAAGCATACGTGTTCTTCCTCCGTGGCCTATTCTGGCGTGAGTTTCATATAGTATACTGAACAATTCTTCATTGGTAACATAATACTGTATATTCGTTTCCCCTGATTTTAATGGTACAATTAATTTCCTTCATCATTAATTTTTAAAACGTCAAAACGTTTTAATCGTCTGTAATTCAAAGGTGTGTTGCACTTGGTTTTAGCAGAAACCACTTCAGAAAGTATTTTAAAGTACTTTTCTTGAGAAAAATAAAAACAATTGTCTTCTCGTTTACCCGCAATTAATGCATTTAACTTTTCAAGAAAAAGATCACGATTTACTGCAGTATCCATTCAGTATAAATTACGGTATTGGAAAAAAAAATTAGTAAAACGTTGCTCGCATCATCAAAGCTTGCATAAGATCGACACAGCTGACTGACTCCCAGTAGAACACAGGATTTGGCGGGAGAGAGCCCGTTTTTTTGTCGGCTCCTCTCTTTCGGACCTCCACCAGAGCATATCTGTGATTGTCGACATACACCGGTGAAGGTCCGAATGTACAAGAATGTAATAAAATATTCGATCTTTCACCGACGTATTTGGTATTTGTTGACATTCATCGGTGAAAGTCGACATTCTCCAATTTCGGTCTTTCACGGTAACAGATACACAGTCGATTGATCATAAAAATCGTAGCCTTTACCGTATTCCACAATGATTCTGTCAACGGAATCGCGATCAATTTGGAGGTTTACCATGGGGTTCGTTAACGAAAGCTTCATCTATGGCAACCGAAAGCCACTTCTCCCTTATCGACTCTTCCAATCTTCGTGGGACGAGGGGAGAATATTAATAAGGGCCAGGATTTAATAGTGGTTCCTCGATCGTAATGGGAGATCACTCGCGAGGGAAAAGAATTTCTCTTCGTAAATTTTACTGCAATTTTACGGCTTTTTTTTCTCTCAGCGGAGCGTCCCAATTACGGAGGATTTCAAGCTGTTTGCACGATATAATAATTAATATGTTGTTTCATATGAATGTCACATTCTGAAATCGATATCTGTCGAACAGTTTATTTTTGCGGACCTTTTTTATGGGAAAGAAATTTAATGAAACGAAACTTTGTCAGAAATAAAAACAGATGTTTGTGTATTATGCAAATCTCTGCAAACACATTTCTGCGTCCTGAATTTGGTAAATTGTCTACATTTTTTATGTCCCCTGAAGCCTTTGAAAGTGACTAGATAGTCTAAAAATATTATTTTAACAAAATTTAAAGTGAACGTGAAATAGGAAATTGTAATATTAAATTTTTCCCTTAATATCTTTAATATTTCGTATCATATTAGAATATGTTAGTAAATGGTATTTCGTGTCGTATTAAAAAATACATGACGTGTACGATTAGTAATGTACTACACAGGAAGCCACATAAAGTAGCCACTATTTTCAGACAAAGAAAATGGTAGCCTTTTTTTCATTTGTGATATTGTTCCGCTGCTAAGAAAGTCCCTCGAGTTGTGAAAGAACGTCTTTACTTCTTGTCTTTTCGCCTTTTTGTCCAAGCTTGGTTCCGCGAAGACTGGCGTGAAATTTTCTGTCTTCTTAGCCATCAAGAAATAAAGCTGCGTAGTTTCTTAGTTCCTTCTTATATTTTTTTCTCTGGTTGTTACGCATAGCGACTCCTTAATTGTGCATTACTTTAATGTGTACTTTATTCGCGATTAAAGAGAAATTCTGGAAATACTTTCCTTTTACGCGGTTGCAGAGTTTGTAAATTTTTAAATCTTGTAATTTGAAATATTTGAAGCTTGGTTTGAAAATTTATGAGTAGAGTTGAAAATTTGTAGGGTTCTGAATTTATCAAATGGGACAGTGGAAAGTTTTGAAATATTCAAATTATGGAATTCCAAATTTGTGAATTTTAGAATTCCGAATACCAAAATTTTGAATTCGAAATTTTCCGAATTCCAAAATTTCGAAATCCAAATTTCCGAATTTTAGAATTCCGAATTCCCAATTTTCCGAGTTTCAAAATTTCGAATTCCAAATTTCCGAATTCCCAATTTTCCGAATTACAAATTTCCGAATTCTAGAACTCCGAATTCCCAATTTTCCGAATTCCAAAATTTCGAATTCCAAATTTCCGAATTCCCAATTTTCCGAATTCCAAATTTCCGAATTCTAGAACTCCGAATTCCCAATTTTCCGAATTCCAAAATTTCGACTTCCAAATTTCCGAATTCCCAATTTTTCGAATTCCCAATTTTTCGAATTCCAAATTTTCCGAGTTCCAAAATTTCGAATTCCAAATTTCCGAATTCTAAATTACCGAATTCTAGAACTCCGAATTCCAAATTCCCGAGTTCGAAAAATCCAAGTTCTAAATTTCCGAATTCCAGAATTTTTAATTTCAAATTTCCAGATCCTAAAATTTGCCAATTCCAAATTTTCGAATTCCAGGTTTCTGAATTCCAAGCTTTCAAATCTTGCATTTCCAAATTCCAAATTCCCAACTCCAAAATTTCAAATTTCCAAAATTTTCAACTTCCCATCCTCTCAATTACCCATCACTACTCTACAACATCTCGTATTACCACTTCGAACGAAAGTTCCCACCTCTTCACTATAACATGCGTCTACCATACTCTTTTAATATTTCGGTCCATTTACCATAGAATTTCTCCAATAATTTTTCAATTCTACATCGAAAATCCATTATTTTCACCACGCTCCATTTCACCCAGATCTTATAAATTGTTCTCTACGGGTCAACCACGTAACACGTCGAGTATATGCAGAAAGAATTACTCGGATTTGTCTGTTCTTCGACAAGACACATGCAGTGGCGCGTATTTAACGGTTTTGGGCCGATTCCAACTAGAGTCTGCTGCTCATCGAGCGTTCCACTGCGCCCAGAAAGAACTTGATAGAAATTTCGATCACGTACAGCTGATTGGTCGGATGCGTGGTGACTGTCGGGGCCACAGCCGTTGCAGCTTGTATTTTTAATGCAACGTTATTTCTCCTTGTTTCTTCGATTTTAGTTGGTCCGATTTCGAGGCTCCTTCCGGTGAGGTTATCGCAATATTTCCAGCGCGAAAGTTATCGAAAGAATTTTGCTTATTGCTCGACACTCGTTGAATTTACGGTATCAAAGATTTGTGGGATACATTTGAAATTTAAATAGGAATAAATTTTGAATAACGTGTTCACCTAACCTAATTATAAGTTCTCTTTTAATATGAACTTTATGCAAATGTAACTTATAATTTAACTTTGACCTCATTTAATTGAACCTAACTTAATTTTAATATAATGCGACGTTAAAATAATGCAAAGTTTCTCTTCATGTAAAGATATATTAAATATTTAATTGAACCTAACCTAATTTTAGTATAATGCAACGTTATTTCTCCTTGTTTCTTCGATTTTAGTTGGTCCGATTTCGAGGCTCCTTCCGGTGAGGTTATCGCAATATTTCCAGCGCGAAAGTTATCGAAAGAATTTTGCTTATTGCGCGACACTCGTTGAATTTACGGTATCAGAAATGACAATGTTTCCTGGTATGCAAACACGATTTCAAATGCAAATTCAATCAAAAAGTTTGATCACCGTGCAGGAAACAATGATGCAACAGTGCTCGGATTTTACTTTTAAATTAACGTGTTCAGTGTTTTCCGCTGGGGCGAAAAGGATTGGGTAGAATGTGTTAAAATAACAATTATTTAGGTTTGGTTAATTATTTGGGATTGGTGTTGAAATTTAATAGCTGTTTAGACAAATGGTCAAATTTCTTGATAAATTAATTTTGTGGTACCAGTTTTTTAAAGTTAGAAATTTGGGAAATTGTAAATTGTTTAAAATTGATGTAGTTGAAAATTCAAAGTGTTTATGTTGAAATTTTGAGAACTTCAAATTCCTTCGTTCGAAAATTTAAAGTTTCTTAATTTGGAACTTTGCAAGGAGAACTTAAAATTGCTTCAACTTAAAAATTTCCAGCTTCCATATTGTTAAATTTAAAAATGATTTTTCTATTCGTGAAAAATATTAATTAAAATGACTATCTCCACAATTTATCAAGAATGCAAAGGTTAAACACTCGAAAGTTTGAATTGGTATAAATAAAATCATATGAGATAATTTACACTTGCAATTACGATAAGATTCTACCTAATCTCTCTGCTTATTGTTTATCATTCTTTCTAAATTGTTGTTAATAAATCTTGTTTTGTATTTCGAAGTTCAAAGAGTGATCGATAAAATAACAGTACAAACTGAATAACATTTTTATCACATTAGATTTTAATTTCATTTTGTCCAGGGTTGTGTCGCTAAAGCTTGCAGGTCCCGAGGCAAAAGTTCTGGTTGAACGCTATTGAACGTTGCTTTAAATTAATCAAACGTTATCGAACTTCAACCGAAATCTAACTCAAAGCTAACTTAAGAGTAAACCACATCTAAGACCAACTTATTGTAAAGCAAACGCAACTGGTACAATACGTTGTGTTCATTCAACATCGAAGTCTGGTATTATTTTTATAAATTGAAGTCAGGAAATTGAACATTTATTGTTAGTCAAATTTATAGCGTTTTGGGTTGCAAATTTTATTTTAAGGGAAATATTATAGGCATTAAGTATACTTTTAAATATGGAGTCTGTGATACTGAACTGCATCTCTCGATGATCCGCAAATTTTTATTTCGTTTAAATCGTTTGGTCAGCATGATGCGTGTACCAGAATAAAACTAAACTGAATCACCGAGGAAAACCTGAGCCCCAAATGTTTAGTGAATCATCTGTATTTTGATCGGTGAAAATTGTACCTAAAACTGCTTGACGTGTATACTCGTCGTGTAAAATAAAAAATTACCATTCACTATAAAAACTCGAAATCTCAATAAAATGTAATAAGAATATTATTTGGTGGTATGTTCCCTTTACATTACCAATACGACCGCTACGTATTAGGTCTACCGGAAAGTTCTGTCCGTTTTAGAATGGTTAGGTTAATTCTAAAAACGGACAGAACTTTCCGGTAGACCTAATATTTCATATGGAAATATTCCATATACTGGACTATGGGGCTCGCGTATCAAAACTAATTACATACCTAACCCGCGACTTGGACGGCCAGCGTTGATTTGCGGAGAAACTGCGTCAGCAGTTAGCAGGGCCAATAATGGCACGTTGCTCTGTGAGGTAAAGTCTTATACATTTTTACACAAAACTTGTTTATATATAGTATTATTTCTTGACAATTTTCAAGCTTTTAATAAGAATAACGTATTCAGAAACGAATTGTTAGTTTTTTTGATGAATAAAAATGTAATCCTTCCTGGTTTTTCGTAAAATGTATAATAGTACCATTTGCCCTACGTTCGACGTGTATACACGTCGTTCCTTGTTTTTAATTCCGCACCCTGTGGTGACCTTTCGAAACTAAATTCCACCGTCAACTGGTTAATACGAAATATTCTTGTAATATTTTTACGTTTCTGTATCGTTGACGGCTTTCTATTTCCGAAGTCGGTTATTTGATACGCAACTGATCCATGCACTTTCATCTGCACAATTATATCGAATACAAATTAGGTCAGACGTATCCGATGTGACGCAAAAACCATAACGAAAAGGGTAGTAAATAACGTGCTCCTTTATAGAGAAAAGCTATTTGTTCGATATTTGAAGAAAGCACTGTCAATACCTTCAAACGTTATCCGGTACGAAGTTTCGACATTCGTGCTGACGTATCTTCCTTTCATTCAAGAAAAGGCATGTGTGATTGAAAAACAGACATTCGTTTTACGAAATCCTCGGTTTCGGTCCAGATACTTTTTGTCACTTTATTTTACCCACGTATCGGTAAATAAAATGTAAAAGTGTTTATTATTATAGTTACTTATAGTTAAATGTAAATTAAATTAATATTCTATTAACATATAATGTAAATTAATATTACATGCATCAAATTACTAATGCATAGATTAAATTATTATTTCGAACATTGTTAAAATGTTTATCGAAATTTTATTTTTATTTTTAACTCTCAAACGGTGGCCGATCAATCGTGACCCAAGCTCGCAAATAAATTTACCTTCAATATTTATTGAAAAGTCATGTTAACTGTTATTTTAATAGGAACTTTTTCTTGTTTCAGTTCTAATGCTGATAGAGACTGGATGGTTATGCGCGGGTGTAACATGGTTAACACATTACTACCAAACATGTCCTGTTGACAGAATGAACGATGTAACTTTAGGTAAGTAATTTAAAAAAATTTCAGTTTTTAAATTTGTTAAATTGTCTCACGAGCTTCTGCGTTTTATTAAATTTTATGGGGACAGCTCTATTCTTCGCTCTGCGTTCATTTAAGCACAGAATATTCGTTTATACACTAAATTTATTTATTTATATTGCTCTTTCACTTCTTAATTTATCGTAAATAAATTGTATTCAATTCGCAAGTTTAGCGATATCGAATTGGTCATGAATATAGTTCAATAGCACTGTTATTCAAAAACTCATAAAAATGTTTCATATTCCGCAACAAGGACGATTCGATTTTAAATCTGATTCACAGGTTTAGTAATATTGTATTGGTCATAAATATAACTTACAGTTCGATCCGCAGTGCGGTTATTCAAAAATTCATAGATATGTTTCATATTCAATAAAAGTGGTTCAATTTTAAGCGTATTTAATTTGCAAGTTTAATATCGAAGTTAGTCATAAATATAATTCATATAGTTCAATCTGCACAGAATAATTATTTGAAAACTCATCGAAACTTTTCGTATTTTCTCCACAAAAATGGTGAATATTAAGTGTATTTTATTTGCAAGTTTAACAATATCGAATTGATCACAAATATAACTTAGAGTTCAACCTGTAATATGGTTATTAAAAAATTCATAGAGATACAATAAAAGTGAGTGAATTTTAAATTTGATTCGCAAGTTTAATAATATCAAATCAGTCATAAATATAATTTATATAGTTTGATCTCCACAGAATAGTTGTTTGAAAACTCATCGAAACTTTTCATATTTTCTCCACAAAAATGGTTGAATTTTAAGTGTACTCGATTCGCAGGTTTAGTGGTATCGAATTGGTGTGTGCTGGCGTCCGTGATAGTAACAGTGTGGTGCACATACGATGCCGCAGGTAGATCGTGGGTAAAAATGAAGAAGTATCAACGCAGTATGAGAGAAGCGGAATCAAGATGTGGTAAATTGCATTACAACCGAAGCGGCAGCAGAAACAGAAATTGGCGACAAAGGTAACTGCTTTTGATTCTCGCTTTGATTTCAGCGTCCGACTTATTATCGTCCATTTCTACTGTGAACCTTTCTACTCTGGGTAAAGTAGTATACTCTCAGATTGTTTCGTCCCGCAATTTTATCGTGTAGCAAGATTTCCATTAACTGCATCGTTTCAGACAGAAACATGTTATGAAACAATTCAATCTGAAATACTTTTACAGTACAAAATGTGTCCTTTAGCGTTGTCTACTATTTTTTACTATAAATTTCTTTTCAAACTACTCGTTATTCAAATGTTTGCAATTCCATGTTTCTAGAAAAGTAATACGTGCATATCAAGATAGTTGGGACAACAGATGCAGACTTTTATTCTGTTGCATGGGAAATTCTGACCGAAGTCGAGTAAGTGTCACATCAAATTAAATAAATCTATCAAACGAATGTGTGCAGTGCAAAAGAATTGTATCAATTGCTTATTATACCCCAAATTAATTCTGCAACGGAAGAATTAAACTTGGCAAGGACCCATTGAGAACAATCAAAAAGAATCAACACAGCTGCTCCAAGTTTCCTTTCAATTATAAGTTTTCATCGAAAATATCATTCTAAAGCTTAAGAGCTTCAGCACTTCTAAACTTCGGACGAAGAAAATAGAGACGTATTCTTTTACTAGAAATGAAGCTTATCGAAGTAGTGTCAGTTCTTTCTGTACCGAGTCGTTTTAGAACTACACGTTTCTGACAAATTTCATTTTGTTGTAAACAGAAAGACAATTTGAACATTTTTATATTCCTGAATTCCTAGACATCCACTTTTCCTAAACCCCAAATTTCAAATCCAATCGGCCCATACAGTTGCCCCAGTTACAATCGTTGTCCCATCCAAAGTACATTCTATATCCCAGAACATAACAATTCAGCACAGTGCTCAAAGACTTCCCAAATAACCCTTCACAAAGAAAGACAATTTCATAACTTTCCCAGATTGTAGTACTTCCACGTAGAACTTCTCTTCTCATCCGAGGCAGCCATCTGCAATATAATCGATTGTTTTTCCAGAATTCTTTCGCGGACATTGCCAGGCTGTTGAGCGATTTCTTCCGCGACCTTGACGTGGTTCCATCAGACGTGGTCGCCGGTCTGGTGTTGTTGAGGAAGTTCCAGAAAATCGAGAGGGAACTGATAGTGAAGCAAAGGAAGAACGATACTTATGAGTTTCTGTCAGGCGTGCCAGTAACTCCTCGCACGAAATTCTTGTCCTTGACCGAGGACGGTGATCTGGGTCACTTTCAGTCGGCCATTCATTATATGCATTTCGCCCTCGCTGCTTATGGTTGGCCCATGTTCCTCGTTAATCATTCCACCGGCCTTTGTCAGTTGTGTGCAAGGTAACGTCGTCGGGAGTGTGCCGCTTATGTTGTCGCGGTATATTGCGCTACCGATTAATTGATTCTCACCGATGTATCGTTCTGTGCACCACCGAACCGTTTAATCGAACAGCTTTTAATTAAACCGGTTATTATTTTCGCCGTTATTGCTGTTACCGGGTATTACTTGCTCGTTTTCTCGACGATCGGTGATAATCGATTGATTTGTCGTATTTTAACCTTTTACGCTCCTATCGAGTAGCTTCACTTCGTATTCGTCTTAAAAATTCTTTAAAAAATTTTTCTTAAAATTTCTGGATCTTATAAATAAGTTAGATAAATAGATTGGTTGAATATATATATATTTTCATTTATTTATTACTTATAATAAATGAATTTGTATACTTATGTGACACTAATTTTGTCACATTTTATTGAGAATTTATCTTGATATATTTTGTGAATAAGGATATTTTTTTTTTCATATTACCAACATGAAATATGGAAAGATTGTGTGTTGAAATACGAGGCGTCAGCGAATACGTTGTTGATTTGTAATTCGAAACACCGAGAAATAACCGTGTTGAAATCCTGTCGTAGATTACGATGCGGTTGTTTCCCTTGCGGCGGTCACCAAGATGAGGCGACCATTGTGGAGGACAATTGTTGCAAGTGCAATTACGCGGCGTTGAGGAAGATGGTCGAGGTCGCGGAGGTGGAAGTCATTTATGCGACTTTTCACGTCGACGTCGGTGAGACGCCGTTCTTCGTCGCGCTCGATTACACGAAGAAAAAGGTTTCGCGCGTTCCTCATTGATTCGCATGCACCGATCGTGTTTAGAAAAATATACAGACCAGAAATTAGAGTAGACTCGCGAAACAGCACCAACATTCGTCGAAACAAATTTTAAAAAATTTAATGAAGTCAATGGATATGTCAACTTATACTTTATTGAACTTTTTAACAAGTAACACATTGTAGACAATTAATTTTAAATATGACAACCACAATGGTCCATGTGTTAAGTATAACGATTAAATCTGCAGTGTGTTAATTGTATAATGTGCTTTAACAAATTTTGTGAAAAAAATTGTTCAAAATAGTGCTCTAGAGCAAACGATCGTGAAGTTTAATTTCGAGCAATGTACATTGCTCCTTGTTTAATATTCGAGGAAGTCTTTCGAGAGACCGGTATTTGTTTAAATATTTGCACTTTCCGATTTATTGAGAGCTTCAAATGAAAATCAATAGAAAGTTTAATTTCCACGTTGTACACACGAACTGAACGAGTTTTGATCTTTCAGTTCGTTACAACGAACTTTTCAGTTTTATAAAAAAATTCGCGTTATAATTGAATTTAATATCACGAGAATGTTTATAGAAATAAAAATAAGATTTATGTGAAAAGTTTAGTTCTTTGAGATTTAAAGAAATTAAAGTATGGTAGAAGTTCAAACGATTTTCATTATCGGTTGAATTATTTCGCGAGATTTAACGATTGCTTAATTCCCAATTAGAGGTTATGAAAGTTATGTAATTAGCAATTTTGTGGTTGTTCTCTTGGAAGGTTGTCGTTAGTATACGAGGAACCCTCAGCATGAAGGACGTATTAACGGACTTGAACGCAGAGGGTGAAGTGTTACCATTGTCACCGCCCAGAGATGATTGGCTTGGTCACAAAGGGATGGTTCAAGCAGCTGAGTATATACGAAAAAAGCTGCTAGAAGAAGGGATTATATCTCGCGCTCTTGCCAAGGTATTGTTTCGCTTTATCGTTACCTCAAATGCAAATTCCACTTGACTAAGCGTATATCAACTTATTCAAACGAATAATTTCGTTTATCGTTGCACTCGTTGCATATTTTATGTGACGAACCGTGTTACGACGGTAAAATATATCACCAGATACAAGTGAAATGATATTTTTTGCTAAAAATTTCTTAAAAAATTCCATTAAAATCTATTCAAGAATTTGTCGATTCTCTTCAAAGACATATTTGAAAATTCCTTCTTAGAGATTTATTTAAGAAATATTTTTCTTGGAAATCTATTTAAGAAATATTTCCTTCCTCAGAGATGTGTTCGAACAATATTATTCCTCTTGGAGATATTTTTGAAAAATATTATTTCTCTTGGAGACCTATTTCGGAGATGTTATCTTTCTTAACAATCTGTTTAAAAAATATCACCTTTGTTAAAAATCTGTTTGGCCCGTTGCCAAATTATTTTTGATAGGAACGATTTTCTCTGGATAACATCTGAATTAAATATTTGAAGAAATGTTATATGAGAAAATTGCACCGCAAAGGTTTAAGAAATACTTGAAAATTTGTCAACTTTAAAATATGAAATATTTTGCAGGACCCATCGAGAGGGACACATCAGTTCGGTTTGGCACTCGTTGGTCATTCCTTGGGAGCTGGCACAGCGGCCATCCTAGCAATTTTGCTTAAACAAGACTATCCCGACTTGGTGTGCTTTTCATTCGCCCCACCGGGTGGTCTGTTGAGTATGCCGGCTCAGCAATACTCGCAAGAATTTATTACATCCGTCGTAGTTGGAAAAGATGTTGTACCTAGGATAGGTCTTAGACAGATGGAAAGTTTAAGAGCCGACCTCATCAATGCTATAAAAAGGAGCGTCGATCCGAAAGTACGTTCTCTCACTTGGGTGCAAAGATGACTTCCTCTGGATAAAGAAATTCCACTCTGAAAATTATTTAGAATTATTCAAGTTTAAAAATTGAGCAGTTTGGAAATTTGGAAATGTACTGATTTGAGAATATGAGGAGTTGGGCCAATGAGGATTTTGATAAGTAGAAATCCAGGGTCATGAATTTGACGTTTTCAAATTTACAAACTGACAACTCGACAGTTTATATATAAAACATTGGAAGTCCATACACCAGTTATTATCCAAAGGAAGGTAACGTTGCACCCGTGTGTACGATCAAACGTTATAACAGTTGATCAGAAACTCATCGTCAATCGTGATATTCGTTTCAGTGGAAAACGATAGCATGCTCGGTGATGTGTTGCGGTTGCGGTTCTACCCCCACATCGGCTGCAAATTTAGAGGCCGGTGGTTGTATCAGCGAATATCAGAGAGACAAGGACTTAGCACGATCACAGACTGTTGTTCCGAGTGACTCTAGTATCGCGTTGACTTTGCACAGGCCTCTATATCCACCTGGTCGGATCATACACGTTGTTCGCCATCATCCTAACAAGGGAGAGTAAGTCAAACGTTTGTACATTTCAATGCGTTCGCTGCGGTCATTTTTCTCCTTGAACCCCTACGAATTTTTACCCTTTCTTTGCTCTTGGTGTCTGTAACGTATTTAATCTTCCTACGTTTAAATGTACCAAAAAATATTTGTAACATATTTGGATTATACTGAATCTTGCTTTTTCTATGAAACATACACTTTTTAGTCATATCACTTTTACGATATGTACCGCAGCGAATGTGTACAGACACGTTGAATAATCACGTTGAACCAGTGCCTGGTTCCATAGATGTAATTCAATTAAATTTTCGATTAAAGTGTGTCCGCACCGAGCACCTAACTTTTCATCGTGATATTCAACGCGTTAAACTCTGTTGGTGTTGTTCGAATAAGCTACAGAGACGAAATAAAAGCGATCACGAGCAAATTTTAACCGAGGATGTTTTTACGTTTCTAGGCAAAAGTATGAACGACGCTGGAGGTACGTTTATCGAAAAATTTGCATTTTCAGGGCTGCTCTGGGTAATTGCATCTTGAGGATTTGCCCGCATGCAACCTTGGATCTCTGTCCCACACTTTTCTTCTTTTCACGCGTCCGCCACACTGTCTGTTTCGTTTCAGAAACACTACTGTTTAAATATTTCTATTATATATGTATATGCATGGTTAAGTCTTAGGAAGTAGAGCAACTGTACTTGCGTATTCGTGTACCGACAATGAGTAATTTTGACCGAGCGATCGATTGCCTTTAATTTAACGTTTCAGAAGTTTTCATTTCATTTGTTTTAAGTCAAATGTATGACAAAGTTCTTAGATAACACGCGATAGATATGTACATTTTTATTGTTTTGGATTTAGAAAATATTTAGGATAACTGTAAGAATTCTTGATACAGAATTATTTGAGACAATGATTTAGTGAACTTTCAATAATTATGTATCATGAATGTTTGTGAAGTATGAATTTATAAGTATTTACCGGGCTATATCTTCAAATTGCTAGATCACCAAATTCCTAGATTTTCAAATCCTTACATTCTCATATCCCTACAAATTGAAACTACTACATCTCCAAATTCTCATCCCAAAACTTCTGAATCTCAAGAATCCCTAAAGATCAACGAGTGAAAGACCTCCTCCTATAATTTCCCTAAGGAACCGAGATTTGATTATAAGAAGCCAACATCCGATTATTTCAGTAAATGCATCATATCGCATGTTATCCATGTAGCGACATACTAGCAGAAAAGTGAAAGCGACTATTCAGCAACCGATTCGTCGATCCGTAGAATCGTCGAAGCTGATCATTGTTTTGTTCCATTGCAGACAAATGTTGCACAAACAAGAGCCGGTGTATCAAGCACTATGGGCAGGACCGTGCGACTTCGACGAGGTGTTGATAAGCCCGGTGATGATACAGGACCATATGCCGGACAATATGCTGAAAGCGTTAAACAAGGTAAGGCTGGCTGATTCGATAAAGAGGTTGCACACGCCGGTTAGCCGAATGTCCTCGATAAAGCCCGGTAATTACGAGATTTTGGAGGAAATGACCGACGATCCGGATATTCCGAAGGAAGTGGACAAGCCTCAGAATGTAGTAGCCAGTGTAGAGAGTAATGGACACGTGAAAAGTTGCGAGACGACTAGTACGCAAACACAAACTACACCCAGTGACACAACAACATGCAACGGGACGATTGTCGTCAATGTTGAGATACACGAGCCGAAGGACACGTAATTCGGTTACCGTCGATTCGCTTGATTACTTCTCGGTATCAGAGGGTTAAAGTTTGAAGACGATGTCTCGAGAAAATTAGCTTATAATTTTGTGTCGTATGACTTAATGGGGACAGGTAACCGTGGAAAAATTGATAAGTATTTTTATTTGTAAGAGAATTAAGTGGGGGTTACATCTGAGATATAAAAATATTTTTGTGATTTATTTAAGGAAAATAATTTATGGGTAGTAAGTTAAAAAATAGTGTAACCCCTGAATAAGAAATAATAGTAAGTAATTACTATAATGCTCAAAAAATATTTGAACGAAATTACGTGTCCCAGTAAAAGGATGAAACCGGTGACGTCCGAAAACATGTATTCTACATGACGGGATTATTTTGTTAAATATCGGCTCATTTTAACGAATCTTTTCGACTGATAAAAAGATTTACAATTAATTTATTGTACAATATTTCTGTACATTGTTATATATAGACAGGTAAAAACCATGGCTGATGTGGTTGTAGTGGTAGTCCTTCTTTTTTAAACATTTTGTTGTATGAATTTAATTTTTGGTGCTGTTTTGTTGGTAAGTTAAAGATGCGAATAATATTATCTAGTGACATCAACTTTTTATGTTCCTAAATTTATAGCGGTGAAGTTCCTTAATTTGTTTAAAGGTTCTTGAAATTGTTAGAAGTCGAGCAGACGCTGAATGGTACTATTCGTATTTTATATTACCCGCGAAACAGTGGCGCGAAAAATTGAATTCTTAGAGCGGAATATTTTACAGAATTATGTAATTATATCTGTGTTTATTATTTGTTCTGGTCTCACAGAAATATTGATATTTAATGCTAATTTTTATTCTAATTCAGAACCTAACATAGCTTGTAAATGTTTACATATTTAATTTCTACCAAACAAATACGAAATGTTAAACGTGTTCTATCTATCATGAACTTGTTTGCTATTTATTTTTGTGCTGTATTTTATTATTTTTGACTAAATTTCTCCTAAAATTACTGTAAGAACAGAATAAATAGTAGATAAGACTGTACTTACATGAATGTTTAATAGAGTAGCATTCTTTATTATTTGTAGCGTTATTGCTTTATTTAATTTTTTTATATTATATTATATTTATACTAAAGATCGTGTAACATGTGTTTCATTAATTTTTCCCGTATAGCATAATATTAATGCAATAATACTTGTACAATGTAATAAGAGAACATTGAAAGTTATCGTGTCGAAGATTTACACCTTTGTTTCTAGTTATTTTTCTTTTTTGCTTAAACCGATCGAGTAGCTGACACGCATGCTTTCGACACTGCATGGATTTTGCAAACAATTATATTTGTAACTATTTGCGTAACTCTGTATACACGTTTTATTACTTTATTCTTGCGTTTTCAGTTGCTCAGTGTTTTACTTTAGTTGCATCCAAAACGACTGATAAACTATAATCGTACGAGAAGTTTTTAACGCTTAAGTTTAAGAGAGTTTCAGATGTACACTTAACATTTACTATGCCTTGTGTAAATAATTGTAATATAGGATACTTTTTTATGATGCTGTTTACATAGATAGTAAAGTTTTGATAGGCCGTGCAGCAAACTCGTTATATTGCCACGAATAGGAAAGTTTGACTATCAGTTGAACGTAGAACCGGTAGATTTTTTCTTAAATTTATTTATTTCAAGATTAGAAGTTGTTAAATTTCAGAATTTTAGAATATAAAAATGTGAACTTGAAGCTTCTAGAGATGTAAATTTGAAAATTTGTAAATTTGCAAAATCCTAAATCTGAAAATTAAAAAATTCAGAAATATGGAATTTTGCAGATTTCTAAATTTGAAAGTTTGAAAATTTCTAAATTGTCAAATATAGACTTCATCCCTATGTCCTAAATATATCGGGAGGCAATATATCGAGAGTACGCAGTAAGTTACGTCTAAGCCTTAAATCTTCTGGTAGTCGTTTTGATTGCACAATGTAACAACGTAATTCTGTATAATTTTCGATGTACTTTATACGATAAAAACCTTCTCAATTATGTATTCATTAGGTTTCGCTTTCTAATTCTGTGCCTGGTGCATTAAATGTTAATATCAGAAATAAGTAATGTAAACCATTTATACCTCTTACGATTGCTCGAACTATAATCGTTTAACTTTGAACGAGAATGGTATATAAATGATACATGCATAAGGAAGATAATTAAATACACGTATACTTGGTATCTACTTTTATTTGTACTTTATTATTATTATTCTTACACCTATGTTTCGCTAAAGTGCCTACTAATGTTCGCTTTGTGCCTCGAATAGTTTTTCTTTCATTTCAGTATACTTCTCTGTGTTTAATGCTAAGATCGAGCGCGGTCACGAGAAATGATCGTTTGTCTGTTTTCGCTTTGCATGACAGTAAAATTGTCGAATTTTTTAGAAATTAAGAGGTAGTTCGATGTACAAATTTTATCTGAAATCAATTGGTTTCTAAAAATTAAAAACCCTGTAATCGGAGTCACGAAATAATGGTATTGATTTTCTTCGGCGTTGTTGAATGAAATGTCATTCGGTTTATTTTTCATAAATGGAACACGTACATATTTCAACAACATTATTTATATAACTTGTACCTTTTTATTGAAATATATTTTTACAAATTAAATTTTACGGAAAGTTTGAAACTTCAGAGATTTAGAAAAATGCCGTCAACCTTGCTGACTGCAAGCTCTGATTAGAGGGTCCCTACGGAAAAACATATTTTCTTTTTAATTAATCTTATCTACTCTTTCACATCTCAGAGAATTTTTCTTGCTAATGTAACAATATAATAAAGAATTATACTTAATTCTGAAATTTAAATTTCTTAACATATTTTACTTATTCTTACACGACCAATTGAATTTGGATAACTGCAGGAACTAGTTTAGAATAAGAACTTTAACGAAGCATTCGTAAACGTTTTTAACGACTAGGAGTAAGCGTAAAAGTACACGTTAATGAATGTCCACCCCTTTATCGCTTTCGTGCACAAGAAATAGCAGGTCGAACTTTGAAGTGCCATACCTTGTTGAAATTCTCTTAATCGAGTAAAACGAATAAAGCTTCGACGACTGATTGTCTTCCATTTAACGAAGAACCAATTAAACACTTTCCCTTTGCATTACGCTTCTTCGAATCTGATCTGCAAAATCTATACACGTTCTGTGCTATGGGACATCGTTACATTTATCACAAACATTTCGATTTAATTTCATAATATAACTTGAAGTTTTTTTAATTAAACATCATAGTGTAATTGAATGTGCAAACTATTTTCGTATAGAAAAAAATTATTGACGAATAATTATGCTGTTTTAAGTTTTCTGTTGTCATTGAATTTATGTTCTGAAATCATGGAAGTTTTAGTTACTTTTTCCTTTTTTTACAGTAATGAAAATAATTTTGATATACGAGTTGTCACATATTATTAATATTTTTATTTGTTAGATTAATGTGATATTCTGTCAGTCCTAGAATCCTTAGATCTCCAATTCTTAGAATCCAAATTTATAAATTCCTAAACTTCCAAATTCATTTTTAAATCTCTGAATTCCCAAATCCATAAATTCTCAAGTTCCCACATCTACAAATCCTAAAATCCATATATTCATCCTAAAACCCAAGGATTAAATATTCATAGACCTCTCAGTCTCTAAGCCAACAAGTTTCCAGACCACAGAATACCTCGACCCAAAAACTCCGAGGTTCAAATATTCCTGAATCGAAAATTACCAAGATCCCCGAATCCAAAAATCCTCAGATCCCAAAATCCCCAAAACTAAAGATAAATAACGATCCAGTCCCCTTGCATCACAGAATCTCTAAATCCGAAAAATTCTCGCCACAAAAATAATTTTAACCCAAAACGTTAATTGTAAAGTTGCGAAGCAAAATAGCACAGAACGTGAGAATATAGATGCCGTAGATAGACCCGTAGCGTAAAGAATTAATCGACGAACTAGCATTAGACTTAGGTGTATGACACCCGTGAACAATGAACGAATTAAAAACGTCGACCGCTGGTTGTTCCCTCGAATCGTGGCGACCGGTAACCGGCGACTCTCACGAGAGGATGTGTGGCTGAGGGTGTGTGGTGTGTGGATTAGGTGTCTGCGTGCAGAGATCGGGACGCTGCAGAGGCCGATGCAGCAACGCATGAAACGGTTGCAACGGATGCAGCTACCGGTGGGAGCCCCGATCACCAACACGTCGTACTCCACCATCAAAGTACACCGACGAGATTGCACGACCACGACGCCGATGTCTATGCCACCACACACTCTTCTCGCCACGGCACAAGGTATATAGACGTTTTTAGGCTTCATCGGTTCTAGCACGTTGCACAGCTTCTGCGCGTCGATGATGTCGTTAACCTTTCTGCGATGAACGTGCGATATGCGATCGCTTCGAAATTAAAAATTATAATACTTGTTGACTGTTGCAAGATTTTATAATTACAAGATTTCGTGATTATTAAATTTGACAAGTTTTTTATTACGGTGGTTGTTACGAAACTGCTTCGAGGTAGTCACAGATTCGTGACTAAGATAGCGGATACTTTGCGATACGTATAAATATGTGGGCCACTCGCAGGGTTATAGTTGATTAGAAAATGCAGTTGAACGATAAGCACAAATTAATAGGTACATATTACTTTGTCTTTGTGAAAATCGATGTAGATTTAGGGGACTACATTGACAAACTTTGCGATGATTTGAAGCTTCGCGCGTGTTTATGAGTTTAGAGAACTTGGAAATTTGACAGTTCGAGAATTTAAAGCTTTGGAGATTGAAATTGCGTGAAATTGAATGACGTCGAAGTAAAACGCGCCATGTTGAAGTACGCCAAATTGTATTGCGTCGAATTGAATCGCGTCGAGTTTAATCGCGTCAAACTAAATCATCTCGAATTGAATCATGTCCTGTTTAATTGCTCCAAATTGAATCGAATTGAATTTAAACGCACCGAATTGAATAATGTAGAATTAAAGCCAAATTTACGAAGAATTATATACCAAATTTAATTGTATAGAATTAAAAATTGCTAAATTACATTGGATAGAATTTCACGAAATTGAATGACGTCGAATTAAAACGCATCAAATTGAGTCGCATCGAATTAAAACGTATCGAATCGAATTTCGTAGACTTATTACGCGTCAAATTGAGTCCGCGAACATTATTAATGACTGAAGGTTGTTACTATTGTAGATTGATGCATTAATGTGGCCCATAAATTCTGGATGAAGCTCGTTATAATACTAACCAGATGTTCATCCTTCGAAACGTGATTGATGTTTAACGTGAAAATGAACGTATCGATTTTCAAATTATATTGCATTCGACCACGTCTCTTAACAAGTTGTCTTTTTTAACGAATATTGCAATACTAATTCTAATTTTGGACAGAATACGATTCTCTCTGAGAGCAATTTTGAAGAAATTTTCAAAATTAATGAAACTCATTTGTTTCGAGAATATTTGTTTTTCAAATAATTTGTAATTCAAATTGCCTTGTAGAATATTAAAACTGAGATTATGAAATGAAATATGAATGGAAATGAATTGTAGAACGACATCATGGATGCATGAAAAGGTCGCTGTATATTTGGTTATCTTTCAACAAATCCTTCAAAATGTTTTGAATTTCATACGCTTTCTGTCATTTGGATTTTCTCAAATATTTAAAGAGGAAGTATTAAATATTTTAAACTTTGAATAATTGAATTATAAAAGCGCAGAATTATATCAATATTAATGAACATTTGTCATAAAAATCTGCTAATTTACAGCGACTTAACAATTCCAGTAAATTATTTTGATTATCGTCACCGCTGTTCCACTTGCAAGATTATCTGTAACTGCATTCTGTTGCATGCGATCACTCACGATCACTAGACACTAGATTCACCACTGTTCACCAACGTATCCGCTCGATACACTCCAAAAATCAATAGAAACTTGTATTTGTAAGTCGAAGTAGAGAATAGCAGTATGAGATCATCGTTAAACGATGTGCAAAGAAAATTACGATGATTAATTACCGCAAAAAGTTCAATTGGTGGTAGCGGATTAACCCTCGAAAGACGAATGTTTTGTGATTACAATCGGTCGTACGGGTGAAAGACCGAAATCTGGAAAATGTCGACTTTCACCGGTGAATGTCAACATTCACATAGTCGCTTGGTGTATGTCCGAAATATTTGCTAAATACCCTTATTTCTGACTTACACCGATAAATGTCGACATTCACCATGCACTAATGGTGAATGTTGAACATGTCGGAGATTTATATTTTCTTCTCCGTAATTCAGTCGCTATAAAACGTCACAAAAGGGTGTCGTAACTTTTTCGCCTCTCTTTCTGAGAGGAGAGACCAAGAATTTAAAACACATAGTACATTCTAAGCATACGTGTTCTTCCTCCGTGGCCTATTCTGGCGTGAGTTTCATGTAGTATACTGAACAATTCTTCATTGGTAACATAATACTGTATATTCGTTTCCCCTGATTTTAATGGTACAATTAATTTCCTTCATCATTAATTTTTAAAACGTCAAAACGTTTTAATCGTCTGTAATCCAAAGGTGTGTTGCACTTAGTTTTAGCAGAAACCACTTCAGAAAGTATTTTAGAGAACTTTTCTTGAGAAAAATAAAAACAATTGCCTTCTCGTTTACCCGCAATTAATGCATTTAACTTTTCAAGAAAAAGATCACGATTTACTGCAGTATCCATTCAGTATAAATTACGGTATTGGAAAAAAAAATTAAGAAAACGTTGCTCGCATCATCAAAGCTTGCATAAGATTGACAAAGCTGACTGTCTCCTAGTAGAACACAGGATTTCGCGGGAGAGAGCCAGTCGCTTCTTTGTCGGCTCCTCTCTTTTGGACCTCCACCAGAGCATATCTGTGATTGTCGACATACACCGGTGAGGGTCCGAATGTACAAGAATGTAATCAAATATTCGATCTTTCACCAACGTATTTGGTATACGTTGATATTCACCGGTGAAAGTCGACATTCTTCAATTTCGGTCTTTCACGGTAACATATACACAGAAAGATATGTAAGGTACAATAGATACTGAGTAAAAATGACCCTGCATTCGACATACGAGGGTTAACGATTAATCAATTGAACGATATTTATCACCGAGTCATTCATGCATGTGCACCACGCATTTAGCTTACCACGTCGTCATTGTACATTTGATTTTTTACGTATTATTTCATTTCATCGTGACACACCGCGCGATAACAGCATGCCAAATATCATATCAAAAGAGTAGACTCATTCTCAATTGTAATCATTCTCTTTCATTACAGAACTCTCACTTCATCGAACGAAAAGATCATTCTCTTATCGTAATTTTATTGTTACGCTCTTTCTCTTTTCGATTTTCTGTTTCTTACGAGTCAGACAATTCATACACGCTCTACACGTGGAAAAGTGACTTATAAGAACCGTACAGAAACCGCTGCTTATTTTTTATGCATAACATCGATGTAAACAATCTCTGACGTGTTATGTAAATTTGTGGCTGGGATCACAACTCAATCATTAGCACAAACCAAATGGATCTGAATCTTAAACTATTAATGTGTGCACAGAATGGGGAAGCAAAGAAACTACCTGTATAATATATTTTATTAATCAATAATTTTAACTACTTCGGTCTGTTACATTCATCATTATTTAACTTTCGTTATATTTCATGCTGTAATGTTAGATTGATGCAAACTGTCATTCACATTTTTAAGATATGTCACGATCAAGGTTATTAGACGTAGGTCTCATAAACGGTATTCACAGAGAGTACCAATATATCGCAAGTTTTATAATTTTTTAACAATCAATGATTGTGACATTTTCAAAATCACTTAGAAGATGAAGGAATAACAGTCACTGTCATTAGAAATCTATTTTATCTATTTTACTTTCCACTTGCATCAACCTAACATTATCGAGCAATCAAAATCTTCGAACAACAAAGCATCCATCAATTGCAAACATCCACCAGTTCATCACTTCGATTCATCTAGTTTCCCTCCGTTCTAGAACTAGCCTTATTCCTAATCAAAGCTGGTTCTTTGCTTCTCGAATCGAACCCCTATTCCTATCGGTGTGAACGACTCGGAGTACCGCGAAATGTCGGAGCTGAAACGATTACATTGGAAACAATCGCGTGTGGATATGTCAGGTTGTAACGACCCTGGGGACCCTGCATTCGACATACGAGGGTTAACGATTAATCAATTGAACGATATTTATCACCGAGTCATTCATGCATGTGCACCACGCATTTAGCTTACCACGTCGTCATTGTACATTTGATTTTTTACGTATTATTTCATTTCATCGTGACACACCGCGCGATAACAGCATGCCAAATATCATATCAAAAGAGTAGACTCATTCTCAATTGTAATCATTCTCTTTCATTACAGAACTCTCACTTCATCGAACGAAAAGATCATTCTCTTATCGTAATTTTATTGTTACGCTCTTTCTCTTTTCGATTTTCTGTTTCTTACGAGTCAGACAATTCATACACGCTCTACACGTGGAAAAGTGACTTATAAGAACCGTACAGAAACCGCTGCTTATTTTTTATGCATAACATCGATGTAAACAATCTCTGACGTGTTATGTAAATTTGTGGCTGGGATCACAACTCAATCATTAGCACAAACCAAATGGATCTGAATCTTAAACTATTAATGTGTGCACAGAATGGGGAAGCAAAGAAACTACCTGTATAATATATTTTATTAATCAATAATTTTAACTACTTCGGTCTGTTACATTCATCATTATTTAACTTTCGTTATATTTCATGCTGTAATGTTAGATTGATGCAAACTGTCATTCACATTTTTAAGATATGTCACGATCAAGGTTATTAGACGTAGGTCTCATAAACGGTATTCACAGAGAGTACCAATATATCGCAAGTTTTATAATTTTTTAACAATCAATGATTGTGACATTTTCAAAATCACTTAGAAGATGAAGGAATAACAGTCACTGTCATTAGAAATCTATTTTATCTATTTTACTTTCCACTTGCATCAACCTAACATTATCGAGCAATCAAAATCTTCGAACAACAAAGCATCCATCAATTGCAAACATCCACCAGTTCATCACTTCGATTCATCTAGTTTCCCTCCGTTCTAGAACTAGCCTTATTCCTAATCAAAGCTGGTTCTTTGCTTCTCGAATCGAACCCCTATTCCTATCGGTGTGAACGACTCGGAGTACCGCGAAATGTCGGAGCTGAAACGATTACATTGGAAACAATCGCGTGTGGATATGTCAGGTTGTAACGACCCTGGGGCCTGCGAAGCCACAGAGGCTGGCTTCCGGTCATGCATCGTCGACGGAGGCGTCGGAGGCTCGCGAGGTCGTCGAGATCCAGGAGATGGAGATCGAACAGGAAATGAGAGCGTTGCTGTCGTCCTCCAGCCCCGTTAAATCTCATCCCAACAACCTGGCCGGAACACCGCCGCACAGACTCTGCCTGGAAACGAGCTTCACGTCCTTGCAGAGTCCCTCGGAGTTCCCTCAGGTTGGCCGCGAGCTGAGCGTCGATTCCCGAGGAATACCGTGGGAGTACGTCAGCCTGGCCAGCGAGTTGCTCAACACGCCCAGGGCCGACGAAAGCAAATCGTAAGAATAGCACTTTTACGTCGGGACGACGAACGGTACTCACGGAGGACGAAGACGCCCGTAATTAGCTTTACGATGAGGGCCTGCGGAGAGACGAACGCCGCTGTTAGATGTACCGAATTATAAAACGGGCTACTCTTTCTTTGCACCGGGCTAATTCATAAAATTAGGAATGGTAATTGAATCGTCGACGATCGTTCCATCGTGCTTACCTTCAGAAGTAAGTGTATCGTTAATCTCATTCAACTCATTCTCGAGACCGAGCAGCTGTTTCATTCGACTCGAGAAACTCATGTTACCTCGTTCACGATCGCTTACTTCACGACTCGCAATGTTCACCGCTTCGGCAATCGCGCACGTAAACGCTCATTACGCACTCGAAACTTAGAATTGCAACTTAGGGTAACACGTTATTTTCGGAAACAGGATAACGGGTAATGTAATCCCTCTGCGATCACATATCTCCTATTGTGAAAACGAAGGAATACATGATCTCAGCAATAATATTCCTCACGTGTCTAGCATCTGAAATGTATAAACCGAGTCGATTTGTCAATTGGTCCAGCTTTCCTCTCTGTTATTCAAGACTTAACATTTCAACCGTTACCCTATTTTCTCTCGATAAAGTGTTCCTAAGTTGCAGTTTTTCCAATCAGCCGTAAGAGCTTAATCGTTGTTTCGATGCGAAGATCTAATCGTCGGAGCGACTGGGACGATGCGTCGCGAATGGCACCGCTTGCCACACCGGAAACTCTGTCGGAGGCGTCGAGCAGTCCACCATCGCCGGTTCCACCACCGAGGCCGATGAGACGTACTCCAAAAATCTCGGGAAACTTGTCAACGGCGGCGGACGACTTGAAGAACAATCTTCACTTCGCTATGCTCTCGGCGAAGAACTACTTCCTGAGGGAGGGGACGAACGGCAGTAACACAAGCAGCGGTAACAGCGAGGCAAGTTACGAGAGTGCCAAAAGCTTAACCGCTGGTCTTCCGCCGCCAGTACCGAGAAGACGAGATTCAGTCATTATCAGAAGGTAGCTTTTTAACTTATTGCCTTCGAGGATCTTTCTAGTTAAATTAAATTTATGGAATTTACTTCTTTAACTGTAAACTTATTTTATATATTTTGCAAGATCTTTTATAATCATGTAATGATTAACAGCTATCTACATACTTATACTTATGTATGTATAAGTAATATAATATCTGTGGTTTTCTTTGAGCACAGTAAAATATGAGGTCTGACATTAACTACTTTATGTGATCAAAATATGGGAACATGAATAAATCGTTCACGATTATTCACCATTAATAATCAATGATATATCGTAAAGTACAGCTTCTACTTCAGAACGCGATGAAATAAATGTTCAGACGTTTTGCATACTTTAGTTATTACATTATTATAATGCGTTATTAAATGCTCCACCGTTATGCAGCCGTACCATTATACGAGACAGACGTCTTCTAAATAATAATGTATTCTGAATAATAAGTAAAAATCGTGTGGTGTGTTGTAGAGAGCAAAGAGTGTGCACAGCCGCCTGCTGCAGAGACGATTTGTCGGAAAACTCCTCGTCGCACGCTTCGTCTCATTCCTCCAGGGCGTCTCATGCATCGAATCAAGTGCAATCAGGTTTCGTGGAGGAGGAAAACGAAACGAATGGATCCAGTTTGGATTTTTACGAAGCGAAGGTAAATATAAAAATAACGCGAGACGCTTTGAGAAGTAAAGGGAAAGTGCAAGCACCCTTAAGCTCTGTGTGTTCGCTAAAAAATGAATGGTCGTTTCAGGGTTCTTCCGGACAACGGGATAGCAGTAACGATGTATTTCTTAGCGTGAGAAGCTCCCCGGAATGCAAAGGCCTGATGGCACCAGCGACCGATTTAGGAGCAGAATGGAAAAAGAAGTTTGATGCCACAGGGATGAGCGGTGATGCCTCGTTACCTCTTTTGCGTGGATTATCGCCAACGCCAACGCACGGGCAACACAGTTCTCCTTTCTTTAACGCGAAACGTAAGAAATACGTGTATCCGATTACGCTGGTTGGTCGAGGTGAAAGCAGCGTTTAATGATGACGAGTTAGGCCGACCGGGGACCATGAAAAAGAGACAGGATAGATTTAAAGTATTCTGTAGATGTCTGTGCCAATGTCACACCGTTGTGTGATCGTTCAGAAACAATTTCCTAAGACCGCGAGTGGATGAACATTCGAAATATTCTAAAATTAAGGGGCCATGTACCGTGTAGCCTCTTTGTTGTAAATAATCAAATTGAACGATATTCAATTTTTATTCACAGAACGTCACTTCTTATATTTGTATAGTCGTTTCTTCGATGGAACGAAGTATTTTCCGATTCAGAATATTTTCTGTCGATTACGAAATAAATAAAATGACAAATACAGACAATTGAGTATATGTACTGAAGATAATGATACAGAAGAAATTAACACTCTGAGTGCTGAAATAATATCCTCTCAGTTAATAAATCTAGGAAATTTGTATGATATTCGATTCTCTCTTATTGGACTTTCATGTATTTAATAAAATTGTTGAAAAAATTTAAGCTATTTATAATTTGAAGTGATAAGGTATAACCTAATAGGTGATTAATAAATAGGTCTATGTAAAAAGTTCATGCATTGTCCAGATGTGGGCGATATGGCACTCAAAGTGTTAATAAAAAATAAACAATGGACTATACAGATAGCAGTTTACATGAATCAAGATGCCTTGCTACTTAAAGAATATTAGTTTTTAAATTAAATCTGTTGATTTAAATTGTTAATTGTTGTAATGTGATGAAAACGTGGGAACGTTGTATGGATCTTGCACTGGCCTACTCTACATGAATATCATTTAATACAACAATTTTTACGCGCTTTTGTACAGCTTTTTAACAGAACGAACAAAGATATAACTAAAAGTGGTCTTATTTTATTTTATCTGTACATAACTTTTATAGTCATATTTATATATATATGATTTTATTGTATTATTTATAATTAAATATTTATTTAATAACTTCCGTGATCTTTTTTTTACTTAATCTATAAAGAATATACAAATTGTAAAATAGATAATTATTAAAGGATGGAGTTATGTAACAAAGAATGAACAATGAAACGTGGTTTTTATTAAGTCCTTTAATAGTTGCAACTAAAAGAAGTTATTGTATTTATGTAAAAAGTAGAAAGAATATATCTGATCTATTTAAGTCTAGCAAATTATAATAGATGCTTAGAAAAAAAGTATATATATATATATTGAATTTATTGTAAGTGATATTTGTAGAATATCATTAGGAAAAAGTGATATGTAATAAAACAATTTACTTAATGTATGAAAATAAAATACTTTCCAAGAAATAAAGAGACCAGTTCAAACCTCACATCTTTTACTGATTTTCAAATTTACTCGTAGTAATAATTATTAAAATAAAATTATCTTAAAAGAACTATGCTATATGTTTATGAAAATAATATTTTGTTTCATTCCATCTAAATAATATTCAGTTGTATTTTGTAACATACATAAAGTAATGTAACATTCTTAAAGTTTTTAAGAATGAGCACATATACAAAAATGACAATACTGTATAATTAATTGGATATCCAAAAGGAGGTATCTGTGATACAATGTAAGTTGTGATTTTTAGATTATACCACTGTTATAGCAAAAGAGCATTAAGTAATTAATAATCACGTGACATTGAAGGAATTTTAAACAATTTTATTGCATTGTTGATGCCCAAGGTGGAGTCATTGGTTGTGGATTTTGCAAGTATGACATTACAACCGCAGATATGGATAACATAAAACTACTAAGAATTTGTTTAGTATCGTCGCTCACTTTTGAATTGGCAAAACTGATGCAAGAACAATATAACGCAACCCATGCACACCATTTCAATCTCATCATTAAACCACACATACTAAAGACCATTCCAAGTATATTCATGTAATCTGGTGTTGAATTATCACCAGGTTGCATTTGGCTGCTTGACACACTGGGTTTGTATCGTACTTCTCGTTCTGGACGTCTAGGATCTGATGAACTATTCATTTTAATAATCTAAAATTTACACACAAATTATATACGACAACAATCTTGTACAATTTATATCAACTTTAAACCTTAAACATAAGGTGTAAGGTTATCTTATACAATATGATTATTATATAATAACAATGTATAATCTATATTAAAAAAGAATGATGTAAAGACATATAAATCTACTTACCAGTATAGGTCAATAGAAGATAAGAAAACTAATATTAATATTCGATAAAAAACAATGAAACAGCTGATTTCTCTGTAAATGCTATATTCTGTGTATGCGTGAACATAGGAATGATTCATTAGCAGTAACTATACTCTCTTCAGGGAAAGATTTTACTCAATTCCTGTAAAATCTTAGAATTTAGAGATTTGGAAATTTGAGAATTTGTAAATATAAGAATTGGAGAATTTGATATCGATCAAATTTTGCAAAAGAACTCTTTTTTTAAAATTACAGTTTTTTGAATTTCTTTGGAAAACAAGTGGCGCCATCTCTTCGGCAAACAGGCTGAACTACACACTTTTGAAACTGCAGTTTCATTAGTTCGCACTGTTGCCGTTAGACGGCAGCACGTAAGGCGGTAAACATACCATAAGAATTGTTAATTCTAGGACGGTATTATCATAACTAGGTCTGTTTGATTAGGCACTCCGCGCCTAACCTAACAATGTTGAGCGAGCGAGTAAATGTCACTCTAAAGCAAAAATAGTCAACCCTAATAGAAATTTGTTTCTAAATGCCTCAGGAACCATACTACGTCGTCAAAGTGCCGAAATATTCATTTTTTTATTTTCCTTATATGCGTGTTCGGACCCTCACTTTTTAGGATCAGTTTTTTCGGTGATTATTCGTTCGTGGCAAGTCCGATTAAAATTTTTTTTTCCATGTCCATCTGCATGTACATACGCATGTGCATGCAAAATTTTATGAGAATTGATTGAGTGGTGCAAAAGAAAAATGCGGACAAAGAAGTTGCAAAGTCAAGTATAAGAGCTTCGCTCGCCTTCGGCTCGCTCGCCCAATAATATGTATATATAGTGTGTGCTATAGTACAGAATCTTGTAGAAAGCTAATAAAAATCTGTTGAGCGAATAAAGATAATGTTGCAATTAATTTGCTTGTAAAAAGTTGAAGAAAACTGTAAGTTATGAAAGAAAATGTGACGAATACATAAATCGGACGATTGCTTTCGTGCGCTGTATTAAATGTCGTTCACATTAGGCTATTTTGACGTGTGCTTGTCTAATCTGAACGCCTCTTTATGCAGGCTCGACGCAGCGCCATCTAGCAGTGATACACGGAACTACGATAGAAACTTCGCTGATGGTATATTACCGTTAAAGTGTGATTGATTAATTACCGACAGAATCCAGTCGGTACTTTAAACGTGTTCATCATAGTTCAGCAGTTTGTTGTTAGATGGCGGCGCAGTTACTGCACGATACTTAAAAGTAATTTAAGCCTTATCAGACCGAGGAGCTAGTCTTCACAGCATTGAAGTGGGAGGAAGGATCTCTGCGTTCCATTTAATCAAAGTAAGTCCTATCTTTTAATATTACACATATATTTAGTCACAACAATTGTACATTATAAATAGTTATTCAATTTTTATTTTTACAATTCACATTTTCTGTTTACCAATGTTCTAACTTTCACGTAAAAATATTATTAAATCGTGCAACAACAATAAATATGTTATTATAAATGCTTTTATTTTTCAGTTCCAAAATTGAATATACACAGTCTGCCTCCATATTCGACAAAGAATTAAGCCAATAAAGAGTTACATAAATTAAAAATTGTACAAAATATATTTGCAAATTGTATGTATTTATGAACTTACAATAAATAAACAAAAGAAATCATGTACTTATTTACAATCCTTTCCATTAAATTCTTAAACATAACAAACAATCAACAGGTTAGGTCAGGCTTACGGTTAGGTTATATAGGGTTCGGTCAGGGTCCAAGGTTAGGTCGGATTATGTTAGGTCAGGCATACGGATAGGTTATATTATGTTAGGTCAGAGTCCAAGGTTAGGACGGATTATATTAGGTCAGGCCTACGGTTAGGATATATTAGGTTAGGTCAGGATTTGAGGTTAGTTCGGATCATGTTAGGTCAGGGACTAAGGTTAGGTTGTATAAGGTTAGGTCTGGAGACTTAACATATATCATTCCCGATGTTACTACATATTACTATTATCGTGGAACTATAATTATTATCCT